TCCAAAGCAGCCACCACACTTAGCATTCGCGCCAATGGGTAGTGGGGTTCTGCTTTCTCCACATCCTCCCCAACATTTGTTGCAGCCACCTTGGGGCTGCAGAGTGATCCTTCATTACGGTTTGGATGTGCGCGTTCCGAAAGCCGATGACGTTGAGCATCTTTTCGCGTGCTTCTGGGTTATTTGGATATTGTCCTTGGAGAAATGTCTTTTCAGATTTTGGCTCTTTTTGTAATTCACTTGTCTGAATGGCAGTTTTTACTATGATCCAGCTTATGGAGGGGACTCGGAATCCCAGGGTGCATCAGTGACCTGTCCAGGTAGTCCAGCTGGTAAATGATACAGTGCAAGATTTCTGTCCTCAGGTCCCCTGCTTTTTCTACCCAGGCAAGGGGACAAGGTCATGGTCTCCCAGGAGACGCAGAACAGAGGAGAGACGCCCCTTCGTGCTGAAGTAGATCTAAAAAGATTACCTTGGGGCACCTGGGTGGCTCAGTCGGTTAAGCATCTGGCTGTTGACTTCTGCTCAGGCCAAGATCTCATGGTTCATAGGTTCTAGCCCTGCATCAGGCTCCACTCTCTCTGCTCCTCCCCCAGCTCATGTGCTCTGTCTCCCTCTCAAAATCAATAAAGTAAAAACAACAGTAGCACCAGCAATAATCTGCCTTATTTCAGGGGGTCTCCATCAGTGTGAGGCTTCCCGCCTCCCTGGACTGGCCTGTGCAACAACCTTGGCCCCAGCACTCTCAAGGGAAAGGACCCAGGGAGTGGGCAGCTCTCCTTCCCTCTCAGAGGGAGCTCAGCTGTGCTCCAGGCACCGCACCCCCTGCTTCTCCCGGGTGAAACAGACCCACTGTCTCCGGTCTTCCTATACTATTCAATTGCCAGTGTTTGACATAAAAATCATTGTACGGTGGTAAGAACATGTGATCTACCCTGCTCCATTTTAAGAGTACAGTACGTTCTTGGGGGTTCACAGGGACAGTGTTGCAGCTAAGGGCTCTAGAAAGGATCCGGGTTTGCTTCCTAACTCCGCACTCAGGAAACTGCTGTTCCACTCTTGATTCCGGGACTGTGACCGTTTTCCACACCACTTGTAAGTGGAATCCCATGGAGTTGTACTCTCTGCAGACTCCCCTCACTTAGCATAATGTCCCCCGGGTCCATCCGTGGGGTCGCATGGGTCAGAATTTCCTTTAAGGCTGAGTGACATCCCGTCATACGTGTACACGTTTTCTTCATCCATTCATCAGCCGCAGGCACTTAGCTCGTTTGCAGGTCTTGGCTGTTGTGCGTAAGGCTGCCGCGAGCCCGGGGGTGCAGATACCTTTTCAGGATCCCGATTTCAGTTCTTTCGGGTACACACCCCGAGGGATGGCTGGACTATGCGGTGCTTCCCTCTATAATCGTTCGAGGAAGCTCCATGCCGTCTCCCGTAGCAGCCGTAGCGTTTGATACTCCCACCAACAGCATGCAAGGCTTCCGGGCCCACACTTGCTCAGCGAAACTCGGTGTCTTGTGAGAACTGCCATTCTGACAGGTGTGAGGCGAGACCTTATTGTGGTTTTCATTTGCGTTTCCCCAGTGACAGGACCATCTCGGCACTAAAGTGGACGTTTCTCCAGAGACAACGTGCAAATGGCCAACGGGTATAGGAAACTATTTGGGACAGTTTTTGACCTACAAAAACTGTGGCCTTAGGGGCTGCCAGCTCTTATCCAACTGCTTCTCGGTCTCCCCAGCTGTTACTACAGCTTCCTGCTCCCCGGACTTTCTCCGGAGGTCACACACTCAGTATGAGGCCAGCCGCCCTCCTCCAGTGGCCTCCACGGCTCTGGGTTTACGGAAGTCACTGCAAAAGCTTCTGCCCATCACAACCAGCAGTGCGGCTTAGCTCATGGTCACTGCTTGCCATGGCCTTGAGGATGGAGCTGTCCCTGGCCCCAGTCTGGCCCCTGTCCCACCTACGTTCACGGTCAGGCCCTCAGCCCCAGTGGCAACTCTGAGAGGCCACACGCATCATCCCAGTGATACCTCACTGCAGCCCCGTGGAAAATCCTGCCTCCTGAGGAGAAGCAGCTGGCTGTGTCTGGCGGGCTCCCACCCCACCCCTCCTGGCCCAGGGCCCTTTGCACCATGAATCACACAACTCTCTTCTCATCCTTTTCAGCTCTTCCTCCTCTACCCACTGCGATGACCCAGTCTGGTGCCCTGCTCACAACACCCTGTGTTTATCCCTGCTGGGGCAACTTCTCTGGGGTCCGCCTTGCCTGTCCCACGTGGGGCTGGGGCCCCTTTCTACCTAGCACAGTATCTGGCAAAATAACTCACGTGGTCAGAGTGGCTAACTGTCCCTGGAACTCTCAAAATAGCTCCACCTTTAGTGTGTCCTGGGAGCTAAGGTTCGAGAACAAGGCACTTGCCTGAAGAAATGCAGCCAGCCTGTGGCTTTCCATGTGGCCGACTCCCCATTCCTGGCCACAGCATCCTGATGGCCACATGCTCATCCCCCTGTGACAGGTAGGGGAACGAGGCTCAGACGGCAAGGCGCCCTGCCCATGGGCCGCAGGATTGGGACCTCCCAGCCCGGCCCTAATGTCAAAGGCTAGGTTGCGTCCCCACACAGCGGATGCCATTTCTCGACAGAATGATGTTCCTACTGACTTGTAACTCTCCCTCCCAAGAGTCACTTACCTCAGGGCCAACAGGCTCTGGCAGGACTCACCCCTCCCTCGCATGTCGTGCCCAATAAGGGTGGCCACAGAGCGAGGGGCAGCCACTTGGACCCTGGATCTTGAACAGGGGCGGGGTGGAGGGGTAGTTTCAAATGACATTTATAGCCAAGTCCTCCTGTGAGCACCACGATTCCTTCCAGCATCTTCTACCCATCATGTAAGGCGCCTTCTGGGATAAAGAGGCCTTTTGGTAACTCAGGTAATACCGACAGAGAAGGACAGGGTGCCCTTGGGCCTATGGCCAAATGTCCTTCTGAAGGAGGGTTGTGTGGCTAAGCAGCTGGCCAGGCCGCAGGAATGAGGAGCCACAGCTCACCCTTGTTCAAGGTCATGTGTGTCCTCTCCCTCTGCACACAGAGCAGAGCACCCCCCCCCCCCCCCCCCGCACGACTCCTGAGGGAGAAGGGAGACACTCGAAGGAAGTTTCCATTTTGTACTGGAGATGTTGTCCTCAACAAGGGACTTCTCACTGAGCACAACGCCTATGTCCCTGAACCGGCGTGACAATCAGATCATTGTAAGCAGGACCACTGCCGAGTGGCAGGAAGGAATTGGGAGACTGCGCAGAACTCACTGGGACCCCCGGGGGCAGAGGCAGATTCTTTTTGAATGTGAGCCATCCCCTAAGTCATCTAGATGGGGCCCTGCTGACCGGGTCTGCCACCTACACCTGGGTGGCCTCGGTCCTGCCGAGCCTCTGTGCTCCTCGGTAGATGGGCCATCTTCCCTTGCAGAGTCTGGGGGGACCCAGGTCACACATCTGGAAAGGTGCTGGCACAGGGAGGTTCATGACCTGAGTTTCATCTCAGCCTGTTTTTTTGCAGGTATTTTGTGCCAGTAAGATGTGTACCGTAGAAGTTTTTCTTCTCATTTTTGACCAGCTTAAGCTCACCCTTCAGAGAGCACTGTTGTTCAAGTACCAAATCTTAATGATTCCACTATTCAGATCTCAGTCTTTGACAGACAGGGTGACCCCAAGAATGTCCACGTCCCAGTGCCCAGAACTTAGGACTGTGTCCCCTTACGCGGTGCAGGGGACTCTGCAGATGTGGTTAAGGGTCTTGAAAAAGGCAGAGGGCCTAAGTGGGCCTCGTGTGATCGCAAAGGTCCTTTGAGCAGCGAGAAAGAACTGGAAGCACCGAGGAAGCACTCTCGGCCGGGGCCTCCGGAAGGAGCCAGCAGTGCCGCCACTCTCTGCTGAGCTCTGTGAGACCGTTTTGGACGTACAGCCTCCACAACCATAAGACGGTACATTTTGCATTAAAGCCACTAAGTAGGGGGTCACAGGTTACAAGAACCGTAGGAAATAAGACCGAGTTCTCCACCTCTGCGTTCATGGCCACAGCCTGGACCTCTCAAGTCCCCCCTCCACCCTGTCCCCGGGAGCCGAGAGCCTCCCGCCTGGGCCCGCACACCCTGTCGGGCAGCTCCTGCCCTCCTGGGGGCCACAGCCTCCTGCCCATTGCTGCTCTGGCCACCTCTGTGACTTATCTTACGTGTAACGTCCACCTTCCCCGGGGCCTGGGGGTTTTGTCCACTGTTGTAGCTGCAGGGGCTTGAACAGGGTCCCGCCCACATGGGTGCTCAACCACAGAACAGAGGGACAAAGTGACACATCCCACAGGTTCTTCCTGTGCCTGGTAGGTCGCACGCCCTTCCCGTTGCGTCCTGGGTCCTCATGACCCGCCCTCCCCAGTCTGTAGCGCTTCTGCTGTCCTGCTGTCACGTAGACCATTTGAAACCAAGTAATCGTCCCAGTTGGACTCTGGTGGCTCGTTGGCTCTTCGACACAACGCCGTGAGGCACGTCCTCATAATTAGACATTGGTCTAAATCCGGGTTATTCTCTCAGGATGAGTTCCACCAGAAGCGCCCATTTTTGCTACACCCTCCTTGACGTTAAATGCAACGTTCTCCAAAGCATTTTCTTTTTCTCTCGTCTCCCAGCCAGGGCACGCTTCAGTGACGACGGGGGAGGAAAGCCACGGCCGGCCTGTTCTTTCACAGCCTTCAAACTGGGGCCAGAGCTAACCCCCCCCAAAGCTAGTTGGACGCACACCTAACGCTCGGGGGCTTTTGAAGACGGAAAATGCGCATGATCCGGGTTTTCCATTTCCCCTGTTGCACTCACCAGAGCTGGGTAGCGACTGTCCCCTCTGAGACCACTCCTGCCGTCCTCACACCCTGCTGGTTGGACGCCCCGCCTGGAGCCGTTTGCATTTGGAAGCCCTGACTTAATCAGATTCTCCCCTGCTCTGTCTTACAGCGACATTACTCCTCCCGGAGAACCACTGACCAAGAACAGCCGACCCAAAGCGGCTTCCCGCTTCCCCAAGCTGTCCCGAGGTCACCCCAGAGAGACACGCAACGTGGAGCCCCAGAGCGGCGACCTCTGACCTCAGCAGCATCCCAGACTCGGGCCCTATGTGCCGCGCCAGCTGCCTCTCCCCAGCAGCTCTGCGTCCGGCCTGGCCGCAGCGGCTGGTCCCTTACTCCCTGGAGTGACAGCCATGTCCACCCGGTGACCCCCCAGGGAGCTCACCCTCCCCACCGGCTCCAGGACCCTAATTAAACTGCTCAGTCTCAGAGGGCAAGGAGGCTCCTCGCTGGACGGTCACACGCACACTCTCCCAGGGCCGGCGCGGGGCAGCGGGAGGGTGGGCGCCAGGTCGAGCTCGCAGCCTGCTGGGTGACGTGCACAACTCTGAGATTCCGTTGGGTCAGAAACCTTGTCTTGACTCTTTCCCACGTGGGAATTAGAAGGACTGTTATTACCCTTTTTCCTTTAATGTCACTGCCTGCTGTAACCTTTGGACACGTGGGGTGCAGAGCGGGAGGTCTTCCCCCTTCCCTTTTCGCTCTCCACCAGTGGTCATCAGACAACCTGCTGTGGCCCCCGTGGCCAGCAGTGGCCGACGCGGCCTCCTTGTGAAGGAGCCCTTAGCGATGCTGAACTGGGGTGCTTGCAGCACTTTCCCTGCCTTCCTGGGTTGGCTTCTGGACGTACCGGCCCACGTAGGAAACCTGAGGCCGCCCCGGGCCCACGCGCACCTCCGTGGGCTTGGTGGCACCTCCACCATCTGGGCCAGCCCTCGGCAGCAACCCAGGGACCCTAGGCTGGCCAGAATCCAGGGCCTTGACCTCACTAGCCAAGAGGCCTCGAGGTCATGAGAGACATTCCGTTCTGCGAACCATCATGGAAGAGGCTGTGGCCCCGGGGCCTTGCACACCTAGCACCTGGGCCCTGTGGTGCTCAGTGTGGCTCCCTGCGAACTTGGACCGTGTCCACTCTGAACAGATCGTGGTCCTTCCCTAAAGACATGCTCGTGCTGGACTCTCTACCCCCCACGTGCTCTTGGTGCCCCCGGCCCGGATTCTTTGATTCCCCCATCTCAGAGCAGGCCCCGTGGGCTGGGGCGGAGTGGGGAAGGGGCTGAAAAGGAGCAGCTCTGCCCGGCTCACGCTCCACTGCTCCCGCATCAGATCACCTGAGAACCAGAGCCCTTTCACAGTGTCAACGCCCAGAATCACACAACTGTCATGCTCAGCTGGTGCGTATAGTCACACGGAGCTTGCGCCTTCGGGGGGAAATGCTGACATACTAGATCAGATGTGAGACGGAGCAGGAGGAAGATGGGGCTTGAGGTGTTTGTGAAAAATGGCCAGTGGAAGGCTGACGACGTCCGCGTCCTGGGGCTGCTCGAGTCAGCCTGAGACTTGGCAAGCCACCCGGTAAGCATCGAGCCTTTTCCCGGTGGAGGGGAACTCTGGAAGGTCTGCGTGCAACCCCCTGCTTGCCAGAAGGAAGCGGAGACCGCGGACGCACAGCTCTGCAGGGCAGCCGATGGGCCCGAGCTGCTTGTGAGGGGACGTTCAGCCAGGTGAGCCAGGCCCCGGTCCAGAATGAACGCCCTGTTGACGGCGGTCGGAAGCCAGAGGGGCCCCGCCGTCAGCTCCTGGGGGTTCAGAGGCCCTGAGACGCCAAGTCCCCGAATGGCACCACGGAGTGGTGTTGGCCAATGTGCCCACTGCACATGCCTTGCTGTCAGCTCCAGCCCCCACGGTGCCAGGCGGCCCCCGTCGCTTGCTGTGCCATTGTAGTCCTCGTCGACTGAATCGGGGACCATCTGAAAGCTCAAGCGGCCCCAGGCCTGCCTCCACCTAGGTCAGTGGGAGGCAAGTGTGTGGTGCCCACAGAGGGACGGTCCTGCACTGCCGGCCTGGGAGCAGAACCCACCCCTGCGCTGTCCCCTGTTTGCATCAGATACGGAGTGGAGCCCCCTGTGTCTGACCAGCCCCCGCCCCGCCCCCCACGCCGCCATCCCCACCCACGGGCAAAGGGTTCGGATCACCCAGCCTGGTGGGGACCTGACCTGAAACCAGTCTGCGTGTAAATCTGACCTCACCTTGTCTGAAACCCCTCCCAGGAACAGGCTTTGACACTCTGTGCAGGGATCCAAGTGCCCTGAACTGTACGGACAGATGCCAGGCCTGGATAAACACTTACAGAGAATCCCTGTCTTTTAAAGCTTAACTCTTCATGGAGCACGGGCCCTACACACAGACCACCGCCTCTGATTTCAGTTCAGACACGCACGTGACACACGACAGCAGCTCCTCCGAGCCTTAACTCTGGAGTCACGGAGAATGTTCGGCTGTGGTTCAGTCTATCCAGCTGCTTAGGACCCCCTGCCCTACTGTCTGGTGAGGCGGGATGGATGGAGAAGCAGTGGAATTCTGGTTCCTGGAGAAAGAACCAGAGACCCGGGTCCAGCCCGGTGCAGGCTGGGATCGGACGCACAAGCCCCCCTCAGCCCCATGCCCTGTCAGAAGGAAAGAACCAGAAATCGTTCCTGTCTCCTGGATCCAGTAAGATCGTTTGGTGCCTCCAAAGGTGGCATCCGAGGAAGGGGCGGCAGTGTTCCCCTGGGAGAGGACATTCTGTCCCGTTACCTTTAGCACCAATAACGAGGCACATGCAAGGGTTTTCTGGGTACAGAGGGCTCACCTGACTGAGGTGTAAAGACAGAACCCATCGTATTAGGACACCTGGCACGAGATGGGAACAGAGAGAGGGGTACGGGCCATGGTCTGTGGACGGGGTGTGACTGCACATGCCGGGCTCTGCTCCGTGGCTTGGCCCTGTGGAGTTCTCGGAGAACCACTCAGAGTTGGCACCGACCGGCAGGTGTGGCTTCTGCCTTTCAAAACAAGAGGCGGCCCAACCTGTCCACACCGCAGGCTGGATACAGCAGCAGCGGCCCATGCTGAGAGCTGACAGGCACGGCCGGCCTGGTAATTGATCCACTTTGCGGCCGAGAGGCAGGAAACAGGAACGAAGAGCCACCAGGCCAGTTGCTCAGAGAATACCCTGATTGCCCAGCTCCCAGAACCCGGGTCACACTAAGTGTCCCCTTTTTCTCTCAGCTCCACAGGGGACAGTTTGCAAGCCTGAGGCCCAGGTCTCTAGGCCTTGAACCGCACCCCACCCCCACTCCACCCGCTCCCCTTCACGTGGGGCACCAGCCAGCCCCCCACACGGAGGCCAGGCCTTATTCTCTGAGGTCCCGGCAGCCACCCTCCCCACCAGGCTCTTCCAGAAGCCTTTATGCTTCAGCCTCTGGCCCCTCTGTACCAGGGGCAGAGCCCGTTCCCGTGAGGGGCTCCGCTCCCCCGGGAACAACTCGCCTTGCCGGGGTGTGGACCTGACGCAGAGAACAGGCTCCCTTTTCCGCCCGGAGCCACCAGAGAAAGACACTGCGAGGGCCCCGCCTGCGCAGCAACAGCAGGCTGGCCCGGAAGTGTCCCCGAAGGGTCACACCTCAGGCTCCCTCTCAACCCCCCAGGCAGTAATTGTCTTGAGCTTTCCTCAGCGTTTCACTGGGGCCTGCCACGCGTGGAGGACCCCGGAGGGGCTGCCCGCAGGCAGGCATCTGCTCCTGAGCAAGGTCTCGCACGGCGATCATTCCTCCAAGTATTTTGCATTGTTTCATTAAAGCGAACATTAAATATTTGCTGTTCGGTTTGGCTTCTGTGCTAATTTTGCACAATTGTAGCACCGTATATTTTATCTAACACTTCTGTGCCAGAAAGTTCATTTCCATGTTTCTGTAACACGTGGTCTTGATTAGGTTTCTTAAATACAACTTGAGCTACGGGCTCAGGAGGCAAGAGGGGGGGAACATCGGTCCCCCCAGCCCCTGCTCAGAGAAGACCAGCTACAAGCTCACCCTGCCGCTGCCCCGATGCCCCCTGGCCCATTCCCCTCCGGGTTTCACCCCTTGCCGTCAGCCTTGAGCCATTGCTGGGTACGGGCTGGATTTTTGATAGCTGGAAGTTAGGCCCAGAGGTCTTTACTTCTGTGTCTAAATCCCAATCCCCATCCTGAATCAGTTTCCTTAGCGGAAAAAAGAAATCCGCTTTCTCTACAAGACGGTTGAGCCTACAGCGTGGATGAGCACACCCACTGGTAGAACAGGCTGAACTAGTGTCCTGAGGCCCAGGGGGTCAGTTCTTGGGGGCACATGAATGCTTCATCATAACTGGAAAACCACTACCGACCTGTCCAGGTACCACCCTTCCCCTTGGAACCAGGGAGGGTCTGCTTCCCACCTCGATGAATTAAGTGGAGTGGCCACTCCTTCACCTTGAAGATCCTTGATCACCATCAAGAGAGGCCATGCAGGGGGGAGGCCCTTGCAAAAACTGGGACTGGGCCATGGAAGGATCCAAAATGGCAGATTGCACATTTGCACCCAGAGGGGCCGAAATCAGCTGGAGAGCAGGAGTTTCCAGGAGTGAGGGGGTGTGGACCTCCTGAGGAGCTTTTATGATCAAGGATTCATCCTAGGAAGGATGGCTTTACTCCACAGCCTTAGTGGCACCATCCCCGGTGTAGTCATTTGGTACAACACTCTGATTACCTTAGTAGACACGGATGTCTCGGAGGAGGGAGATCTCGGAATGCAGGAGCCATCACATCCTGGGGGAAGGACCCCCAATGTCTGGGTCCCCGTGAGCCCTCTGCAGGGGGGTAAGACGGCAACGTATCTAGAGCCTCGTGCACTGTCTGGACGTGAGTGGGGCTAGCAGGTCACAGGTTGGCTCTGAAACGTGTAATATTATGTTAACTACCCTCTTATGTTAAAGTTTACACAATAGAATTTTTAAACAAATGTGTTTAATTTTCTAAAATCTCTTATATTAAAGTTTTCTTTTGGAATAAGTTGTGGTAATTTTGTTACACTCTGGTTGAGACACACCTCTTTACAATGACAATAAAAATGATCATGTTTTATAAATTAGATGGCCCACTTACAGTTGGCTTCTCTGTGTTCTTTTTCAGCAGTTGGGGATTAGGTCAACTTTCAATATACACATCATGAATATTTCCAGA